TATGGTAAAATAAAAAACTTCTTTAGAAAAAAAAGAGTCTGAATATGTATAGGTAAAACAGCACTATATACAGTATCACATACGCACTGATATTATGCTACAAACATTCATACTTCATTAGCAAGCAGAACGTTTTTGTTTGTACGTGCTGCCTACCTGCTGATGGCCATGGCAATGATCACTGGTTCCCAGCCTGATGAAAGCAGTTCTTGTGTGGCTGAATTTTTCCTTGCCATCACAAACCACACAGGCAGCATTGTGATGAATACCAAGCACACAATCGGGTTGACAAATGCATTGTTTTCTGTAGGTGGAGTTAAAAAATAAAAAAGGAGACCCATTTAGATGCTTCAAGCTTTTAAGGATAGCCACAGACTAGATGGTGATAAACATATCACAAAAGTACAGGCCCCTAAAACAACAATATCAATCCCCACAAATGTATGGCAGTTGCCTTACCATAGCAACCATAAGATTTTTGGAAGTACATTAAGTGTTCACTTTAGGGCCTTGCTTTTGTGGATGCATTATCAGGAAGCTCAAAAAACAAACCTTTGGGAGTGCCATCTACTTTTTACAGTAGATGACTACCAACACTAGCATTGTTGCAATGCACATTCACTTTTCATTGTTCTTCATAGATGATTGGATGTTCGATGCTGCTCACACTGAAATTTGAAAATATTAAAATAGTTGCATTGGTCTGAAATTCTCAGAGAACTGTGTACATTGACCAGTGTTTTCTTCTGCTTGTTATATATTTAGTGCAGGATGTTTCTAAAAAGGTGCCCATACACCTTACGAATATCGACCGATTTTCTTATGCGATCACGTTTTCTTCCGATATTCGGAAGGTTGATGGGCAGTGTACAACCGCAAATACTGTACAAATCGAATCGACTTTTCACTAACCAGCAGGTTAGAAAACTTCAGCCAATCATACGAGTTTCGCAAGGCTGGTGGTGTTCCCTACGTCAAAATGCATACGATTTACACTGCCCATGCACAGACGAAAATACGTGCTTTCAATTAGCGCAATTCATCCGGGTGCTTTCTTTTAATTACTGCTGATCCAACCTTGTGATAATCGGGACAGGATGGGGCCGCCGTATGAAAATCGTATGACAGTTAGATTGGATGAAAAGTTTCGTCCGATGATTGCAAGGTGTATGGGCAGCTTCGTGCGGTCACTCACCTGCCTAAACAAACTAATCCCACCTGGTCTTTGGCTATAAGTTTGTCCAAGTCTGGGTTTAACCTACCCTTTAGGAATTTTGAGATGACCATTAAGGTAAATAGCAACTGAATGGTTAAAGAACATATTTTCATAGTGAGTTCATAGAAATATTATTGGAAACATCAGCTTAGCTCTCCTTTGTGAGCTAAGAGGTTTTCTGTGATTTTCAGTTAAGTTTCAGGACTCCTTAAATTAAAGTGCATCTAAACCCAAAAATTCAATATATAGCAGTGTACCAATCCATAAAGTGGTGGCAGCATTAGTTTTTTTTTTTAGGCTTTTCCCCATCATTTTCACCTGGTGATCCAGCCAGGTGGCTCTGCTCCATGGAGGAACAATGGAGCCACCCTTGGACAGCAGCATTGTCAAGGTTAGCGATAGATATAATAGCAAATTGAGATAAGACTTGACTGACAAATTAACGCCAAACTCTAACCGACATGGTAATCAGTAGCAGCAACAGTTTTTTTCCCTTTTGGGTAAGGTTTTACATAAATTAAAAAAGCAAACTATTAAAAGCACCCCTGTCGGTGGTAAATAGTTATGTCTCAACACTAAATGTCACTTTTGCTGAACAGCTTCGTCTGGTAAAAAGTTGAAAAATAAAAGTAAAAGTAATGCAGCCCCCACATCTAAAAAGGTAAACTGCAATATATTGCATTTTTGCTTTTAGTTTTTGGAAATGCTTTAAATGCTACTGGAGTTTCCATGTTAACCCACCAGACTTATCTGCAAGTCCAGGTGCAATTGTCTGCAGGTAATCACAGCATGTCCGATTAAATGTGAATGGCTGCAGGTAGTGGCAGCTGTCATTGTATTGTACAGTGCCCCCTGCCTGCAGCTGATGAGTCTCATTTGTGAGACTCAGCAAACAGGCCATATTCACAAGTAAGAATGGGGCCTTATTTGCGATTGCTCCCTTGGAGATCACCACATGCTTAAATAAGCACTGGATCATCACTTCCCCGTTTCTTAAGTTGTGATGCTTGTATTAGGAAATCCCTTTACAATCACTTAGTGGGCTTTCCATATCAAGACTGGAGATGCGACTGAAAGGAATTTAGGTCAAAATATTCTTTAAACTGCACCTGCTTCTTTAGGTCTCGTTCACACCTAGGCGTATTGCATATGCGAGTCTGTTGCGCGACCGTTGCGCGTTTCCGAAGGCTACTTGGCTGTATCCCAATGGAAACGCGCAACAAAACGGCCCAAAGTAGTACCTGTACCTTTTCAGGCGTGGGCCGTTTTGTAGTGCGTTAGGGACGGGCGGAAATACGCCAAGGTGGGAACGAGACCATTGACTACAATGGGATTTATATTTTTGAGCGTTTTGTAGAGCGTTTGTCGAGCGTAGAACGCGCTACAAAACGTTCAGGTGTGAACGAGGGCTAAGTGTTATGTTGATGTGGGTGAGAAGGGACCCGCTGAACACAATTGAATGCAAGTGAATGGACTGCATTAGACACTATGTCAGCGGGGCTTAGGCCACTGGAGCCCAGAGGAGAAGAGGCTGCGGGGACAAGTCTAGCTGCCAAGCAGGATAGAGGATTAGGTGTATATTCTTTTATTTTAGCCTCTCTGCGAAGAAAAAAGGAGATAACTGTTCATCCAACAAACCCCGATATCAGAGTTTGACCCATTCCATTACAATGTAATTAACAAGAACTGTTGTCAAGAAAGGATGCAGAGAATGCATTAATGGTATAGAACCACAATTCCAAAAAACTTGGGACACTGTGTAAAATCTACATAAAAACAGAATGCAACGGTTTGCAAATGTGATAACCCTATATTTTATTCACAGTAGAAAATAGAAAACATATCAAATGTTTAAACTGAGAAAATGTATTAAAAAAATAAAATACAAATAAAATGGTAATTTTGAAATTGATGGTAGTAACACTTCTCAAAAAAGTTAAGACAGGGCAACAAAAACCTGTAAGTGGTACTAACAACGAAGAGCTGGAAGAACATTTTGCAACAGGTCAGTAACCTGGGTATAAAAAAAGAATCTTAAGAGTGTCTCAGAAGTAAAGATGGGCAGAGGTTCACCAATTCGTGAAAAGCTGTATCTACAAAATGAACAATTTCAGAATAATGTTCCTCAATGTACAATTGCAAAGACTTTAACCGCTTGAAGACCAGGTGTTTAGACCCCCTTCCTGGCCAGGCCATTTTTCAGTATTCAGCGCTGCGGTACTTTGACTGACATTTATTCCGTCATGCAACGCTGTACTGAAATGAATTTTATACCATTTTTTGGGGACAGACAGAGCTTTCTTATGGTGGTATTTAATCACCGGGGGTTTTATTTTTTACTATATTCAGGAGAAATTACTGGAAACATTTTTTATATTATGTTATAAAACTACTAATATTACCCACTTTTTTGGTAAAATATAAAAGACGGGGTCAATTCAGGTAAATAGACACCAAACATGTCAAGCTTAAAAATTGCGTGCACTCACGGAATCGCAAAAAACTTGCATACCCAAAATTGGCCATAGACGACGCTTTAAAAGCTTTTACAGCTCATCAGTTTAGTGTTATCAGTGATTGATGGCCCTAGAATTATTGTTCTCACTGTGATGTTCGCGGCGATATGTAACATGTGCGGCGTAATGGGCGCAATCGTCGTTTTCTCAGGTATGCGCACCTGACGTATGTAGGGGTGGGGACTTTAAAAAAAAAATGTTTTTTTTAAATTCTTCATGTGTAACTGTTTTTCCCCCCACTTTATTGCTATCACAGAGGGGGCTAAGAAACAACCTCTATGTGATAGCAAAAGAGGTGACAGGTCCTCTTTATGGAGACATCAGGGGTCTCCAAGACCCTTAATGTCACCTAGAACCCCCCTGAAGAAGCTGATGAAACAGAGATCTGCATCTGAAGCGTGACACGAGAATGCGGAAGTGATGTAATCTACACCACTTCCGCATTCTGACAGCGGAAAGGGGACCAGAGGGAGATCGTGAACCGACCTTCCTCTGATCCACTGCGACAGAGGCAGTATGCTGGTCCCGGGCTCAGACCAGTTTCTGAACCCTTGTAAGTCGCTGCAGTGGCGTACTCTGCGGGCGTGTGTCCGGCTTGTGCGGTGGCCGGGTACGCCACGCCCACCGGCGTGGGCCTGGCGTGATCGGCGAGCGAGAAATTTGAATTTTAGCCAACGAATCGACGATGGAAAACGTTGACACCAAGGGTCTCTGCATCTATAGTGTTACCCCCAAAAGGGTAGCAACAGCTACGAAAATTCCCTTGGAGGACATTACTTAAAGCAAAGGTGGACCTACAGTGTCCCCCTTGAGAGGGGAGAAACACCAAAAATAGGGCAAGTGGAGAGGGGAAAAAAACAAAACACCTATTTATCACATTTTTGTCCAGTTTAGGATACCTAGGTCTTACTGGGATGAGCAGGAAACCACCTGCCATAGCTGGGGTGTAGCTCACCTGATGGGGACACTGGAAGGACATATATGGACAATTAAAATTAAATCTTATTTTCCCCAAGATAATGAAGCTGCCGAATAATTATGCACACATTAAAAAGGTCATACACTGTAAGCAACACCCTCCCTAAATATAGCAATTACATCACATACCACGTGAAAATGATTACATCCATTAAGCATTCTGGTTTAAATGGTTTGGGGTCAGAAAGTGCATATAAGATTTATATACTAACCATAAAAATGTATTTCTTGGAGTCCATTCCGGGACACCAGAATTCAGAAACAGTGGAGTTCTACTGCTGCCTACAAGACATTCTGAACACTGACAAATAGTGAAAAAAAAATTATTTAACCGGTCCCTGTATATCCTCTCCTCTACCCAGTATGCCTGTTTTGTAAAAAAACAAAAACAAAAAAAAAACCCGCAATACCAGGGCATAGCAAACAAACAAAAAGTGGTGGGGCTAGGTGTCCCTCAAATGGACTCCAAAATATAAATTTTCGCTATTTAGTACAAAAACTATATTTTCTCTCTCATCCATTAAAAGGGCACAGTAAGTCAGAAACAGGACATTCAATAGCAGCCAAACTGAGGGGAGGGCAACAGCAACGGAA